TACATATATATATATATATAAAATATATATGTATGTATATACTCTATATAGCGCCAGACTTGCCAAAGCATAAATGTAGGATGTAGAACATGATTTATATATAGAGATAGAGAGAAATAGTGATGTGATTCGTTGAATTCGTTAAAAGAAATTATTTACGAAATAATATTATTTATAATCATATCGTCATTATTTGTTTAAAATAATAAAATATTATTAATCGTTAAGAGAGCCTTTTTTTTTTTTAACTCGTGAAAAACACCACCAACACATTCGTTGATAATATTTCGTAAATAATTAAATTATATTGTTTTGTGTTTTTCTTATCTTCTATATATATATATATAAATATTATTAAAATCAACGAATACAACTTTTTGAACATATGTATATGCACGAAAACGCAGATAGATAATAAAAATTTTGTAAATATTATCAGAAAAATTGATGTACGATGTGTAAGTAAGTAAGTAAGTAAGTGTGCGTGTGCGTTTGTCACATATATATGTATGATAGAAATAAACTGCTAAATATATCGCTTATCAAAGGTAATCGATGAAATTAATTTACCTGCCAAGTTTTGAGTCTTCTTCATCAACTGGCTTCCGTCGAGATCTTTCGCATACATAATATATGATTCCTGAAAGCATCATATTCGTAGCTGATGAATACAATTTAACGTAGAAACGATTAGATCAATTTTTAATCGTGTTAGACTCGTTATATACAAGTTTCAGCAAAATTATCTTTTTCTAAAGTTTGAAATTTTCCATAGACAATATTTTGTATTTTATGTTAATTTTTCTACGTTACAATTTGTTGTACTCTAATGTAATTCCTTTATATTAATATCATAACTATACGTGTTAAATTTTAATTTGTATTTGTTTGATTTTTTTCTCTCACAAAAGTAAATTCCAAGATGATTATTGTTATATGTGTATATTCATTACGATAAATAATTAATTGAAAAATGATGCACCAATTATTTATTAATTAATTTACTTTTTATTTATATATTATAGAAAGTTAAAAGATAAACGTATAATGGATCGTTTGTATAGAAAAAATAAATCATAAGTTAATTATACGTACCTGTCTTGTGCGCGCAGCAACATATTACGTCGATGATCACTATGATGATGAATAGCACAGCGATAACAATACCAATTATCGCAGCACTGGATATCAAAGGACCGTGATGGTGTACAACTTTAGTATCTGGACCTTCAATTAGTACATAAAAAAAAAAAAAACAAAATCACAAATGAATCAGGAACATTATTTTATTTCATTGGTATGTATATGTTTAGCAAAATATTTATATAGAGTAGCCTTTTATTAGTTAGTGCAAAAGCTCAAATTTCGCGAAAATGCTTGGTGACGAGTCGAAAGGATATTTCATTTCATTTCGTTTCGTTTCGTTTCGTTTGATTTTATTTCATTTCATTTCTTTTTTCAAATCGATTTATAATATTATTCCATATTCATAGAAAAATTTCGATCACGTCATCATCTTTCGTTATTTTCTTTTTATTTGTTATATATATATATATATATATATATGTAGAGTATGTGATTTTGGTAAATAAATTTTTCAAACGCATTGTCTTTCACTCGTTGACATCACCAAACACGTTCGCTACGTACAACAGTTTTTAGTATCCTGAAAAGAAACAAGACACCGGCAGATGGGTTGGTGGGTGGTTGATTGGTTGGTCTGATGGAAATGGGGTTTGTTTTCATTTTATTCTTTTGTTTTGTTTTAAAGAATACGTGCCAAAAATCCGTTTTTATCAAAGCGGCAATGTTACGGATCAAAATACCAAATGCAACAATGGTTTTAATGTACGTACATAATAATTGTGTAAAAAGTTGTTAAACAAAATATATTATCATATGCGCCGAAAATTGTGATTAGAAATTAAGTAAAAAAAAAAAAAGAAAACCAAAAACATATAAAAAAAAATCTAGCAATTGATTCAACAAACAATTAAATCGATAATAATAAATAATAATTGTAATATTGAATCTCAATCTAGAGAAAATCAATATTTAATTTAACTTAATAACACATATTTCGTTATTCATAATTATCGGCACACATATAGCGATTAATTAAATATAATAATTTGTGATATTAAAAGAGGAATAATAAATATTAGCTTACGCAAGTCAAAGTGTTATTATCTCATTACAAATAGTAGCTTAGCAACAGAGACCAAACAACAACAACAACAAAAGCAATAGATTAACAATGATATAACACAAACAAACAACAACCACAACAACAATAATACAAATATCGAAAACAACATCGAGATTGTGTGTAAGAGAAAGAGAGAAAGAGAAAGAGAGAGAGAGAGAGAGAGAGAAAGAGAATAGGGGTGGGTTAGATTACTGTTGGCCATGATAAAAGCTGAGGGAAAAGAAAAATAGAAAGAGAAGAAGAAAAAAAAAGAAAAAAAAGGAAAGGTTGTACATGTGAAAGATACAAAAAAAAAAAAAAACAAACAAAAAAATTAGAAAAAGGGAATGGAAAAGCTACGTTCGATGAAAAACGCCTATAATAAATAATATGCCTAGTGTATGTGTGTATGTGTGTGTGTGTGTATGTGTGTTTGTTAATTGTTTGTTTACTTGTTATTTTTTTTTATTATTAATTAATTTTAATCAATTTCTATATATACGCTTTCGCTAATCTACATAAGTGCTACCTCCACAATAAAAGCATTTCCATTGAGTGCCTCCCTCCTCCTCCTCCTCCTCACGCATTCACCTCTCTTCCTTCTCTTCCTCTTCCTCCTCTTCCTCCTCCCTCCTCCTCCTTCTTCTTTTTTGATAAATATTCTTTAACTTTCTATGATTTTTCTTTTGGTAATATTAATCACACTACTTTAGCAGTATAATATGATATATATATAATATATGATATATATAAATATACAGGATGTATTTGAATGAGTGATAATTTTACAGTGTAAAAATAAGTCGAAAAAAGGGTGGGGAGGGGACGGTTTGAACTGCTCGTTCGTCAAATCGATGAATAAATTTGACAATATGAAACGTCAAGATAATTGAATAATATTGTAAATCGTTGTCGATATTATTTATTACGTATTAGTTATCACCAAAACCAAATTTATGGTAATTATTAGCGTTAAGTATCATTAAAAGTTATTAGTAATAAATTATTTCAAATTAATCTGGAATAATTCAAACTTTATGTAACTGTAAAATATAATTAAAGTATACATACGTATATGTGTATATTTTCGAATATTTGCAAATATGATTTTATCGAACGTTAAAAATATCTTTCTTATTACTGTTTTTACGACTTATTTCTTTCTGTTATACAATGAATCATTAAAAACCTTCCAAATAAATCCTGTATACATTTGTGCGTGTGTACGTGTAATGCATAGATAAGAGATATAATATATATATATACATAAAATATATGTGTGATATAATACTTCGTGTTTTTTCTTCTTTTATTATGCACGTGTTAGATACAGGCATATTTACCGTTCCCTTGCGTCGAATACGCGTTGTTCTTTTCCATTGGATAGAATGCTTTCGTTTCGTTTCGTTTTCTTGTTTTTTAATTTCAATTTTTACGTTAACTAAAAATTAGGCGTTGCATATATATATATATACATGTTAAACGATTAAAAAACAAATAAAAGAGACGGCCGACAAAGAAACCATCTCAAATTAGTCTTCGATACTACTAATGGTGTTTTTTTTTAATTTATTTATTTGTTAATCGAACATTTTTATTAAATTTTCTTTTTATAATCAATTATAATATATATGTTTTTCTATAGAATATTTATTTTATTAAAAAGAAATGATTTAATTTAATTTTATATTGTATTTTTTCCTTTCATTCGCATAAATTATCTATTCTCTCGATTTAATTCATTATTTATCGTATTTTATTAGATGAAACAAACGAAATTTTCTATACCAACACCAATCAACGCTGACAAATTTGACGATGGTTTCTTCGTTGAAACGTTTAACGACGAGATCGCTTTTATATATATATATTTTTTTTTTTTTTTCTTTTCCATTTCATTTCATATCTTTTCCATTATTCTTTGTTTATCTCGTTTTATCTTGTTACACATTAACATAAATTTGTTTACGTTCGTTTCTGCGTCTAATATTTACAATGTTTTTTTTTTTTTTTATTTTTTTAATTATTTGTTTTTTAATTATTATTATTATTTTGCACGCTTTACGCAGTTGTTTCAAGGAAAAAAAAACGACACACACCTACACAACACGACATTTTTTTCCCTTCTTTTTCTTGTTCTTCATTTTCATCTTCATCACCTTCTTCTTCTTCTTCTTCTTCTTATTTTTCTAAATTCTCATTATAAATATACGTATAGCATATATTCATATAGGCACTAGGCTAGTTTAGTAGTACATAAAACTTAAAACACGCGTAAGTGTGTAAATGCTATTCTAAGATTAATATTTAATACAAAGTTAAAGATAAACGAGGGTGTTATTTTCTTTTCTTTTTGTGTTTTCTTTTTTTTGTTTTTTTTTTCTTTTTTTTTGTACATGTTACATATCATTAAAGTATTTCGTTTGAACTGGAAAATAACGACGAACGATGTTTTGACTGTTGGAATTTTTTTGTTGTGTTTTTACATTTCAATCCTTCTCAATTTTTTTCATTACAAATTTTTGTTCTTTTTACGTGTTTTGTTTTGTCTTTATCGTTTGCCGAACGGAAATCAAAAAAAAGAAAAAAGAATTTCAACGAGGAATGGGGTAAACGAAAAGTATGAGAGAGAGAGAGAGAGAGAGAGAGAGAGAGAGAGAGAGAGAGAGAAAGAGAGACAGAGAAATCTATGAAATGCATAGAAACGAAAAAACAAACAAATAAACCAAAAAAAAAAAAAAACAGAATCGAAAGGAAACAAAAAAATCATAGTACGACAAACAAACGAAATATATCCGTTATCAAAAAACAATGTAAATAAGGTTGTAGTAACCGTGCGAAATAAATAATATTCTATTTCTATTTTTTGTTACAAAAAAGAAAAATATATAAATTACTTTTATCATTATTATTATTATCATCATTTTAATAATATTATAATATATTACTTTATAGAAATATGAAAATATAGAAAATAGAAAATACAAATGTGTTTTCGTGAAAGATAGCAAAAAAATAAGTAGCAAACGAATATAAACACCACGTTCCTTTCTAACGTTCAAAAGCACGCACGAATGAGAGATAAAAAGAGATAGAGAAAGAGAAGTAGAAATAGAGAAAGAGAGAAGGCAAACGCTATTATCGCATCAGTTCGTGGCACGCGGGCAAATTCTCTCTTTCTCTCTCTTTTTGGTCAAACGACTGTATGTGTGAGAAAGAAAGAAAGAGAAATAAGATGTCCCTCTCTAAAATAGATTTTCGTAGCGAAGGTTCTTCTGGAAGTAACTAGAAAACACATACACATTTTCTATACGTGTTTCTATTTCTATTTTATCTTTCACTTTCTCTATCTCTTACTCTATCTCTTTCTCTCTCTCTCTCTCTCTTTGAACTGTGTGTGTCGTTATAGAAGTACGCGAATATCACGAATCTTCTACCTTCCCCTCCCCCCATCCCCCCTGTCCCCTTTCCTCGTTCATCCTCTTTCTTCTCTATCTTCTTCTTCTTCTTCTTCCACCATTTCCTCTTTAAAGTGTACTATTTATAACAAACACCGTTCGTTTTCTCTACCAGAGTGTTCCTCGAAACGAATTTTGCTTTTCAAGAGCACCAAATGCTTTCTCTTTCTCTCTCTCTCTCTCTTTTTTTTTCTTTTTTTTTCTCATTATCATTATCATCATAATCGTAGTAATAGTGTGTAATGGTCATTCGTTGCGTATCATTGATAAGATAAACTAAATGATCTGGCTTTTAAAAACAGACGATGCAGAAAGCTTCACACGAATGTAACAACAACCTCGAGTAATATTATTATTAATATTATTATTATTATTATTAATATTTCTTCTTCTTCTTTATCTTTCTCTCTATCCACTCGAGGGAATGATTTTTCTTGGTAGAAAGAGAAAGAAAGATCTGAATTTTAATTGAAAAAGAAAAGAAAAAAAAAAGTATCAATTAGTTTTTCGTCTAGTTTTAATTTTTGTTTAAATTTTGTTGTTATTTATTATTTGTTAATCGTAGATCGTTTGGTTTTTTT